GGCAATGAAGCCTGCAAAACTGCTTTGGCACATGGAGACCAAGCACCCTACATTAAAAGACAAGCCTTTGGACTTTTTTGAAAGAAAAAAAACCTGAACAAGAAAGACAGAAGCAAGTACTGATGGCCACCACATCAACCAAATTTGAGTGCACTGGGAGCATCATTCTTAGTGGCTAATCGTATTGCTAAGGCGAAGAAACCTTTTACTATTGGTGAAGAATTGATCCTGTTCCGCCGCTAAGGACGTTTGCCGTGAACTTCTAGGAGTGAACTGATGAAATAGCAGAGGACATTGAGACACAATTGTTGGAGAGGATTAATAAATCACTTTGGTACGCAATCCAGGTTGACGAGTCTACTGATATTGACAACAAGGCAATACTGCTTGTTTATGTGTGATATATATATCAGGAGGATGTGCATGAGGATATGTTATGTGCACTATTGTTGTCAACTAACACCACAGCCGCAGAACTATTAAAGTCTGTGAATGATTACATATCAGGAAAACTAAATTGGTCATTTCGTGTCGGCATATGCACGGACGGAGCTGCTGCCATGACTGGACGGCTTTCTGGATTAACTGCTCGGGTTAAGGAGGTTGCACCTGAATGTGAGTCTACGCACATTCACAGGGAAATGCTGGCTAGCCGAAAAATGGCACCAATTTAACAGCGTATTGAATGATGTCGTTAAAGTTTTTAACCAGATCAAAGCACATGCCCTTAACTCGTCTGTTTGAGCAGCTTTGCGAGGAGATGGACGCAGAGTACAGACGCCTTCTCTTACACACAGAAGTAAGGTGGCTATCTAAAGGGAGATCGTTGGCCAGAGTGTTTGACTTACGAGAGCCGCTGCAGAGATTTCTTTCAGAAAAAGTCACCACTTGCAGCACATTCCAGTGACAAGAAAGGGGTTGCAAAACTCGCTTACTTGTGCGACATATTCAACCTGCTTAATGAACTCAGTCTGTCACTTCAGGGGAAAATGACAACTGTCTTCAAGACGGCAGATAAAGTAGCTACATTTAGCCAAACTGGAATTGTGGGGACGGCGAGTGAACAGAGGGATATTTGACGTTTCAAACATTAGCAGGGATTTTGGAAGAGCCTGAACCGCCATTTTCCCAGCTGGTGCACGATTACCTGTCTTTGCTTTTAAAAGAGTTTGAGCGGTACTTCCCAACCACAAAAGACCCACGAACTGCGAAAGAATAGATCCGCGATCCATTTGTGAACAAACCAGGTGAATCGAGCCTGTCCGTGCCAGAAGAAGATCATATGCTGGAGATTGAAAATGACGGTGGCCTTAAAACTATGTTTGAGACAACAACTCTGCCGGTGTTCTGGATTAAAATCAAGGCAGAATATCCTGAGATCGCCACAAAAGCACTGAAAACCCTGCTTCCCTTTCCAACATCCTATCTTTGTGAAGCGGGATTTTCTGCAGTGACAGCGACCAAAACACAATTACGGAATAGACTGGACATAAGGAACACACTTCGGGTGTCATTGTCTCCAATTACCCCTAGATGGGACCGGCTCGTAGCGGAGAAACATTGTATCCGGCTCGTTGCTTGTAAACATCGTATCATTTTATTTCGCTGTATTTATCCGCCACACCTTGAAGGCCGGTCTGTGAAAATATTGTCTTACATGAAACCGGTCCGTGGACCGGGACCACTGATTTAGATGATGTATGTATGTCTGTTTGTGAGATGAAATGGCTGTGTGTGCGTGTGCGCGTGTGAGAGAGAGAGAGACAGTGCCACTTACGTGAAGCAGAAGAAGAGCGTGGTGGACCCAACGAGGAAGAAAGTGGCTGCCGACACCGGGACGTAGCGGGACGGTCGCAGGGGCCTGCTAGGAGGGACCACGGCGTGGGGGAGGGGTGATGAGGATGGACCCCGCCCTCCACTCTTACTGCTGCCACCTGGCATCACTTTCTGTATGGTGGGGTGTGCCTGTTTAGCAACTGCTTCGCCAGGGAATTTGTGATTCAGAGTTAAATGTTTCTTGAGGTGTATTGGGTGGATTTGGGGATAGAAAATGGCAAAAAAAAATAAAAAAGGAGACATGCAAAAGGGATGGAGCGATAGTAGAAGGCTTCCTCTTTTACACAAACAAAGAGGAAAACGCTCCTCTGCATCACCACACTGAGATGGGAGGAGGAACAAATGCTTGTTTTCTTGTGTGTGAGATTAAAAGAAGCCTACAAGTCGCTCTGCTGTAAAAGCCTTGTTTTCCTGTTAGCCAGAAAACCAGGTGGGAAGCCGAGATGAACAAATAAGCCACAGATTGTAAAGAGGAAGAGCTGTCCGAACAGTCTCTTACAGAGTTGCAGATAAATACATAGCACTAGTTTGACTAGGTTCTACCCAAAATGCCAATCAATTACAAACACAAGCTAACAGAAACTGATCATTTTTACACTTCTAAAAAGGGGGAATCTGCTTGTGTAGCAATGTAAATAAAGGCTTGGTGAAAATCATGATAACAGGGCAATTAAAAAAACATGGCTGTTATTTAGATGAAAAAAACCCTTCTGTCAAAACACAATTATTGAGTTGATCAGTGATTTGGTGCTGTAAAAGTCCAAATCCTGACAGACAGAAAAGCTCGGCTAAACTGATAAACCTTTGCTGTGAACTAGTCCGGTTTGATTTGATTGGTCTATAAATACGAGTTTAGTGAGGTACAAGAGTTGGCAGAGGTAGACCTGTTTGGGTAGGAGACTTTCAATATGGAACAACAACAACAATAAATGAAGGCTGAAAAGAAAGAAAATGTCTGGGATGATAATCTGACTTGGCTTTCTATTTTCCTTCCTCCGTGACTTTCTTCATCTTAGAAAAAGTGCAGCTCAAGACCTAAAGTGGAAAATGGGCTTGTTTGTTCCCAAGTCTGTGCTAGCAAAAAGTTTCTTAGCACCGTGAGATCAGCAGTCTGGGCGCAGAAAAAGTCTTGTAAATAAAAAATGACAACCCCTTGCTCTCTGTTAGAGGAGAAAGACACTTTGCTTTCAGTCCAGGACTCGTATTAGAAACAGCAGTCTGAAAGCGGGCCAGTGGAGTAGCCTGGTTTTCCTGTGTCGGGGCATCCCTAAACCCAGCCGGTGGCTGATTCAAACCACCTCACCTGCCAACTGCACCAGGGGTATGATTGGAAGACAAAAAGCAAGAAGCAATGCTGTGGTTCTTTCCAAAATATCTGAGGGAAAATGCAGTAGAACATCCATTAGTATCCATGTAAATGACAGAGTACAGTGCTGATCTGAGTGCTGGGGGTTATGTGTGTGTAGATAATGGTATTATCTTATATTAGCCAGCAATGGCAACATAGCCTCCCAGCTGCAGACCGTTTTCTTTACAGCCCTCTTCTCTTGGGACTTCCAGGGCCTTCCCCCTTGCTTCCTTCCCTAGTAGAGAGCACTGAGGCTTGGATAACACCCTCCCACAACCAATCCCTTGGAGGATAGGGGCCTCTCTGGAGCAATGGCCTAAAAATGACCTCGACAAAAATTTGAAAAACTGTGGCTTTTAAGTGTTGAAGATGGAGTCTCCTCGGGCCATTTGTATCTAGAGATTTTTCAGGTTTGAAGTGTCCTCCGACCTCGGAAACAGGATGCGAGCGATTTTCCCCATCCAGTGCTTATCTGTGGCCTTTTCGTTTGTGACATGGGTCACTGTGTGTATGGATAGAACGCAGGGGTGCCGGTGTTGAACTTCAACAGGTTGTCCTGGGTCAGAAGACAAGAGAATCCAGTCTGATGGTTGGTCAGGGGGTGCTGCACCTACAATGTAATGAAAGGAATATAGGGTTGGTTAAAGAGCAGATAATCCTGTATGTAAACGTGTCTTACACTGCATTTACAGGTACTGTAGTTCAGATGTTTTGCCCACTCTCTCTCTACAACAATAAGGTACAGCCAATCCACACATTTGGGATGATAAAAAAACTCATGTGTGACAACAATATTGGGTTTTCTTATGCACAACTACTCACTTATCTACATTCACCTTGATTAACACAATACAAATTTAGAGTTGAAACCCCAACAATCACAAGTGCTGGATAACAATTCCAGGGAAAACTCCTGAAAGGTCCAGTGTGTAACATTTAGGAGGATCCATTGGCAGAAAGTATGCTTTCATGAGTGTATAATCAAATAAGATTTGTTGTGTTTTTGTTACGGTTTTAGCTACAGATGCAACGGGTAGCCTTCTGTTGTGGCAGCCATGTTTCTACAGTACACCACAACTGCCAAAACAAAAATTAGCTCTAGACAGGGCTTTTTGTGTTTTTCGTGCCTTTCGTGGCCACTGTAGTTTCTCCTACAATGGTGGAAAGGGAGGGTGAAGTGAGAGAGTTGCAACCTGAAGCTACACCGCTAGATGCCACTAAATCCTACACTCTGGGCCCATAACTCTTATGAACAGTGTCAGCTTACAACCAAAATATTGGAGGACAAATGTTGAGTGTGAGTGTTTCCACAGCCGGACGTTTCTGAGGGGACCAAAACTTTTTGAGCAACTCATGGAACTAGACTTGCGTCTCGACTGGAGGGACCAGGGATAGTTCCTGTAGAATAGTTGAGTGTAGAAACAAAAAAAAGTTTGCAATAGATGTGACCACGTACGCGACCACGTACGCGACGCGACCACGTACGCGACGCGACCACGTACGCGACCACGTACACACTAGTCTCGCAATACCAGGATTTCTAAAATGTAGTTGCTTGAACAACAGTAAGAATGGCTGCGATAGCGATAGAGCCTTTCTAGTCTTCCGACCACTCAAAGCGCTTTTACACTACGTGTCACATTCACCCTTTCACATCTTCCATCAAGTCCATCAAACAGAAACTAACTCATTCATACACATTCACACACCGATAGCAATTTGGGGTTCAGTATCTTGCTCAAGGATACTTCCACATGGACACCGTGGCAGGAGGAGCCGGGGACAACCCAAACAACCTTGCTGATTGGGGGACGACCCACCCACTCCTGCCTCTGAGCCCCAGCAGCCGCCCCAACCATTTTAACAATTTTCCATTCGAGCATGATGATGTAATTGATGGTGTTAGCGATTAAGCCCTTAGCACCGGCCACAGCAACAGGTAGCATGGCTGTAGCAAATGGCCTTGCCAAATAAGCCTTCTGTTTGCCAGGCGACTTTCTTTTCAGACGCTTTCTTTCATAGTTTTTTCTGGAAACAACTAAAACTTAATTTAACTAAAATGTGGCAAAAAGTGGCTTGGAGACAACATCTGATAAATTAAGTTTTATAATTAGCTGTATTTCGAAATTAAATGTGTTTGTTTAGTACCCACAAGTAGGTGATTCAGATAATTACCTAGGTTTCTGCATATTAAAACCAATAACAACTGAAGAAAATATAAGATGTAAGTTTGATGATGTATTGAAAGTAGTGAGGAATTATGGGAGTTGTACCTTTAAAGACCAAACGCTATGTAACCTGTCTGGTTGTTAGTCCATTCAACGGATGACCTGTCTTTTGAACAACTTGTTGGAGGACAACTGAGGCCTTGTTCTTCTGTGCCTGTCAAGTGTAGTATGAGAAGGCATCATCCCTACAAAACCCTTAAACCTACAATGTCAAGAAAGCTCAAAGCCGTCTCCTGTGTCGTTCTGACAGTTTGATAGATAGAGGAGGAGAATTCTGGACGATTCGGCCCCGCCCCCCAAGTTTTGGCTGCAGGGATCAGCTTGAGGTTTGAACATTGTGGTGCACTCATGGGAAAGGAGTATCTGAGCGCTCACACCCCACAGCACACCAGACACAAGACACACACACTACACACACACACCCACAACCAGTGCCTGGTAAGACATAATGTTCCGGCATGTCCCCAAGCAGGTCAAAATGAGAGACCAATCAAGTATCATTTACTCTATTAGCTCCTCCCTGTTGCACATATTCAGTACACTCCCGTGGGAGGCAATTGAAGTCCCTCTTCTTTAATGTGTTTAGTGAGAGACGAACAGGGAGAACAGAGATACTGATTCAAACTATTCAATCCTCCGGAGGTGAAGACTGTTACATTGCTCTTACTGTTTTTAGATTTCCCTTTAAGGGAATTTGTCAGTCTACCTTTCTGTTTTTGACTTTAAGAACCACCTTTTTAAAAAATCCCAGAACAGGAATCAGGTTTTCATTTTGAACGAAACAGTTATTTCCTTTTGTGGGAGCCCGAACTGCTCCATGGTGATGCAGTGAGTAACCTGTCCCACTGGGTTGATGCTGTTGTAAAGGGTCATTTTAACCTAATCTGAGATAACCTGTGGAGGGAAATCCACAGTCACTGATGCTTTCATTGTTTGCCGCTAACAAGCAGCGTGACTTAAAGTTATTGGCTTAGAGGCAAACTTCAGTTCGTTTTGAAGAGATATGGTAACTTTATAATGCTTCCAAAAGTAAAGTTACTCAGTACAAGTTTTATGTACGCAGCTGCGACTACAGTAACAGCATGTATACAGTAAATAAAGAAAAGAACAACAACAATAAATACCAAAACTGGCTTAATGAAAGAAAAAACTGAACTCAATGTCCAACTGAAGGTAACACCAATATGCACCACAGTTAGACATTACTTGAAGACAAAAATAATCCCTTAAATAGTCCAATTTTACTCCTAATTGATTGATTGATCTGGCAACTCTGTATTCAAAATTAAAACCCAGGTGAAATGCTTAAATATTCTCACCATTTCCAAACACTC